AACTACAGATACATTTTCCAGCTCCCTAACTATTTGAATAACTTATATTTAAGTAAATACAGAATAGCCTTTTCAAAAGCTAGATTAAACGTGTTGCCATCAAATATGTCCTTTTCCATCTAGACAGAAATTTCAGGCATGAACTATTCGAGGCTCAGAAGAATTAAATAGTAACCATAAGCAAAAAGCTAACAATAAAACTCTCTTAATGTTCCATTAACTATCATTTAAAATCAAAACTCCTTTTCAAGAAGTTCCAGAATGGGAGGTACCAACCCACCAAACATGGTAAACTGATGGTTTTCTGATGATTTCAGAGAGATGGGATGTTTCTTCTTAAGGAAAACTGGAAACCCTGTAGCATTCAACTGGCAATTTGAGGTCTTCAAGATTCCCCTGCCATACCTAAGTCTTTGTACATTCTCTCCTCTGGAAAAAAAAAAAAAAAAAGCAGTATGTAGGCTGCTTACATCAGCCACATCAATGACTCTGAAGGAGCCACTGGATTCCTAGAGGATCTGAAACTCCAGAGAGACTGGAGGACTTTTTCTCTAACAAGATCTCATGATAGAAGCCCAAGGATTCATCCTGGGGATCTTGTAAATGAATGCCAGAGGGCAATCTAGACCTGCGGAACAGTGTTCCTTACAGCAGAGTTAGGAAACCCAGGGCCCTCAGAAGCTGGAGATTTTTGTGTACAACTTCCTTGATTCTCTGACCGTTTGCCATGATTGCTTGTCTTATATGAATTGGAGAGCCAGTTTGGTGTAGTGGTTAAGACACCGGGCTAGAAATGGGGAGACTGTGAGTTCTAGTCCCATCTTAGGCCCAAGGCCAACTAGATGACTTTGGGCCAGTCACTCTCTCCCAGCTCTAGGAAGAAGACAGTGGCAAACTGCTTTTGAATTCTTACCAAGAAAAGTGGAGGGACTTGTCCAGGTAGTCACCAGGAGTCAACACCGGCTCAAAGGCACCCCCCTCAAAAAAGTCCAAAAGATAATGCCTCCAATGGTATAACTGATATTGTTCCTATACTTCCTGCCTTGGTGATCAATAAGCGCATGGAAGATATTTGCACAGAGCACAATTTTAATATGTCTCCTCCTCTTCCCTGAACTACAGAAATGCCTGTTAAGTTCAGTTTCACTAATATTTTTCCCATGCTCATTGTTACTCACACTATTTGAATCTCAAAGTGTATGGTTTGTTCTTCATAAATTATTTATTTTGTTGATTTTAACCCAGAATCATGTACAGTATGAGTGGCCATCCATAGATTTTGACTTTCTATTGCATCTTACCTTGGTCTTTCTACCCTATACACTACCTTCTTCTTCCTTTCACCCCTTTTTTGTCTACATTCTCCAAGCTGTCTGGAAGCCTTCTTTGTAAGGAAATGGCTGGTGAATCCTTTATTTACATACCACCAGAATAACCAACATCATTTCCTGTCAGAGTTCTCTCCTTGTTTTGAATAGATCACTTCCCAGCTCTGTGTTATTCCAGAGTTAAGGGTAACATCTGCTTCTCCTCCCCCACCTAATACCCAAGGCTGCTCTTTGATTGGCTACTGCTGTTTGATTGGCAGCTGAGTTGTCCTGACGATGGGGGAGGGCTGAGAAGGGAGGGGAAGAAGCAGTTCAGGGGCTCCCTTCCACAGTTCTGGCCTCTGGTTCAAATGTATCCTTAAAAACCCTTTTATATTCCCAATGGTCCAAGAGGCATCTGTTCCTCAGCGGGAGAAGAGGTTGACATTTGGGCATTATTCTTTCAGTGGGCCTGTATGGTCTCAGCCTTCTTGCATTTGATTTTAGTCTTCTTGTCTTCACACTGCCTCTTTCTTCTTTCACTCCCTTTTTCTCCACATTCT